TCACACTTCCCAGATAGTTGAATAACGTTTTACAGAGTGCTTGTCTGAATCAGGATTTAAACTGTTAAAAGATAATGCTTCCTAAAAGGTTAAATAATACTTTGTGCAAATATAAAAAGTTGAGGAAACCAGTAAGATGTTAGAACAGGTCCAAAGGGAGAGTCCAAAAGGAGACACACATGTTGTGGTTGTATGTCACCTGGCTTGCTTTGACTCATGGGGCCCCATGAGACAAAGCAGAGAGGTCCCATAGGCTCCTAGACTGTAATCTTTCTGGGAGCAGATTGGCAGGTCCTTTTTCACACGGCATGGCTAGGGGTTTTGAACCACCAATGCCGTGCCCAGCTTCAGCTATTCTCCACGTCTGGTGCGGAGAGATTAAACCAAGGAGTGGTGACGGGAGATTAGAAAGAAAAGGAAGACACAGGCACAAATGAATTAAGTAAAGTTGGGACCAGGTGGGGTGCAGCATTCTGATGGAGATACTGTGACCCAGACCAAGTACAGCAAGTTTATTTTATACACACATCAAAAGGAGGCACTTGGGGCAGGGAAAAGAATGCAGAAACATCTGGTGTTGTTTGTGCATGCAGTAAGTGGTAGTTTATCAGAAAAATGTAACTTGTGGTAGCTAGCCGAAACAGAGATTAGAGCAGCTAGATGTTTGTGCAGACTGAGTTGAAGGTCATGGCTGTGTACAAGGACATGCTTTGCAAGTTCCCTATTCCTAGGGCCTGCTTTGCAGACTCCAGGGGCAGCCTGACTTGGGTGCAGTCTGAGTTTCTGGACCACGACTGTTCAGTTGCAATCCTTCAGTTAAACGACCCCAAGTCAGAGACCTTTGACTCAGCTGTTCCCAACAACCTATCTTTCAATGAGCACATAACCCTTAAGCTACCAGGCTTCCGCAAAGGAAGATCCAAAAAGGAAACACATATATGTTGTTATGGTTTCTACTCATAGAGTCTCTGAGCAGTGGCTGGTGGATTTGAACTACCAACCTTGCAGTTAGCAGTCCAGTGCTTATCCTATAGCACCACACCAGGACTCTAGACATATGTGTAGGTATCAGTACTACTGGCTTGTGAAAATCACCCAGAGGTACTTGTGGAGTTGAAACTCAGAGCTCCGAGGCAAAGGCAGTGCTCAGCTGATGCTGGTGTGTTCAGACTTGGAGGAGGACCCGAGAGGCGTGGGGCCCAGGGTCACCGAACAGGGGTGCAAAGAAGGGTCACTGAGTGGCCGGCGCTGGTGTCTCTGAGCTAGAGCATGGTAAAGCTGTGTCTTACTTCTGCTTGTGTAGAAATACAAGTGGATGACTTCAATGAACAGAAGTTTATTCTCTCGTAGTTTAGGAGACTGGAAGTCCGAATTCAGAGGCTCCGACCCTGGGGGAAGGGCCTCGTCTCCCTCAGTGCCTGTAGGCACAGTGTGTTTTTTGAGATCTCCATGAGTCTTGTCCTGGATCTAGAAGCTCCACACTGCAGGGACCCCAGGTTCACACAGCGCACTCCCCTTCTGGCTCTTCTTTCATGGTATTTCCTCTGTTCAGTTCTCTCTCTTTTAATCTTTGTAAGATGAATGCTACTGCAGACCCTTCTATTGAAGGCTTGTGGTGGGCCGAAGGGTATTGCAGCCCACATCCAGTCACATCATGGAGAATCATCACATAACTGCCAAGCCAGTGAGCATCATGACCCAGTCAAGTGGACACATATTTGTGGGGGGACATGATTCAATCTATGACAAACTTGTCCTCCAGGTGTTGGAAACATTGCAAACTAGATCGAGCTATAGCTCTGGGAAGGAAACGGAAGGAAGCCACTGAAAACCTACGGAGCACAGTTCTACTTTGCTACACCTGGGGTTGTCATGAGTTGGAAGTGACTTGACAGCAACTAGTTATGGAGTAAGAACGTCACTACCTGGGTGACCTGACAGCAACAGCAGGCAGACAGAAGCCGATGCGAACTTAATGGAAGTCAGTGCGGAACCACCATGAAACAGGAAGGAGTGATGCCCTTCTTCCCCCCCGCCCGCAGCTTTATAGTCTCCCTCTAGCGCCTCCTATTGGCAGAGGCAGCTGACTGAACGGCAAGCTCTCATCACAAGACCAAGTGTAGGAGGTTGGTTTTGAAGCTGAGAAACAGCAAATGGCTCCATTTTAACTCCAGAATCCAAGCTCTTCCTGCTTTATCTTAGGTCAAAAGCAAATAACAAGAAAGATAGACTTTTTTTGGTAAGATATCATCAAAGATACTAGAAGTAACCAAAGAATACAAGGAACAAAATTAAGGAGTATGAGAGAATAGAAAGAAGATACCAAAAGGGACCGCAATGAGAGCAGACAGACCGGCTATGGCGTCTCCTTTAGTCTCCTTGGGGAAAGCACCAATGGTGTTCTTGCAGCCTTGGGCACTTGGAACACATTTCCGGAGCCTCCCTTGCTTCTGTCCCTAGAGTGGGGTCCAAAGTTTCACAGCAGCAGGAGGAAATGATACCTGGGAAAAGAATTAGGTATTTCTGAATTGATAACTTCCTGGTCTAGGGCAAAGTCTTTGTGTGTTTTTCTCATCACAATGGGCAGGTCTAACCTGAAGTAGGGGTGACCAGGGCAGAGGTTCCCTGAGAGGAGGATATCACAACCCCTGTGTGGGATGGGGAGGAGCGGGTGACGCAGCCCTTAGTAGTGAGTAGAAACCCCAGCATCTCCCCAGAAAAAATGAGCGGAGGACTGCGGGTTTTCCTCCCTCCCTGCAGAAAGAGCAGACCGCCATAGCTCAGCCTAGTGGGTGGATTTGAGCCCTGGCTCCTTGGAGGGACTGGTCTGAGATGGGATCTGGGGCCCCTTGTGAACCACATGCAAGATAAAAGCCATGTTCTACAGGCAAAGAGGACTCCAGAGGATTGTCATGGGGTCTCTGAGTCAGAACTGGCTCCACAGCATTTAACAACAATGACCTGCTAACTAGGGTTGATGTCACCCAGTGTGGTCACTCATGACGTCATATTCCCCTCCCCCACCCGGGACCGCCTCCCATACCAGGCCATACAGAATCCTTGTTGTTGTTAGATGCTGTCGAGTTGGTTCCCACTCATAGTGGCCCTCTGCCCAACAGAAGGAAACACTGCCCGGTCCTGCTCCAGCCTCACAATTCTTCCGTTTGAGCCCATAACTGTGTTATTCCATCTCACTGGGGATCTTCCTGTGTTTTTGCGGACTCTCCACTTGACCGAGTATGATGTCCTTCCCTAAGGACTGGTCTTGCCGTCATAACTTCAGTAATGTTTACTATCAAAGTTAATCAGACAATGTTGTTGTTGTTAGATGCTATCAGGTTAATTCTGGCTCATAATGACCCTATGCACAACAGAACGAAACACTGCCAGGTCCTGGGCCAACCTCACAATTGTTGCTATACTTGAGTCCATTGATGCTGCCACTTTGCCAATCCATCTCCTCTTTTTCGCTGACCCTCCACTTTACCAAGCATGACGTCCCTCCTGATAATATGTCTGAAGTATGAGACATGAAGTCTCCCCATCCTGAATTCTAAGGAGTATTCTGGCTGTACTTCTTCCAACACAGATTTGTTTGTTTTTCTGGCAGAGTCCATGGTACTTTTAATATTCTCCTCCAACACCATGACTCAAATGCATTAATTCTTCTATGGTCTTCCTTATTCACTGTCCAACTTTCACATGCATATGAGGTTATTGAAAATACCATGGCTTGGGTCAGGTGCACTTTAGTCCTCAAGCTGAAATCTTTACTCTTGAACACTTTAAAGAGGTCTTGTGCATCAGATTTGCTTAATGTGATACACCATTTGATTTCTTGACTCCTGCTTCCATGAATGTTGATGGTTGATCTGAGCAAAATGAAGTCTTTGCCAACTTCATTCTTTCCTCCACTTAACTTGATGCTATTTATCCGTCCAGTGGTGAGGATTTTTGTTTTCCATACATTGAGGTGCAACCCATACCGAAGACTGTGGTCTGTGATCTTCATGAGTTAGTATTTTAAATAGCTTAGGTGTGATATTTTTTAGATTGCATGAATGTTAACAACAAAATTGCTTTCTAAGATCTTTCTACACAGAATTACAACGTGTTTGGCTGCATTATTCGTAACTGAGCAGAAATATTTTTTCGACCTCTCTCCTCCTTTAATTACTACTTCTTTCTCAAACACTCATCACCACAATATTGTAGCTAAGGTACCAGAAAATTTGACAAAATCATCGACTACAGAGACATGGGCAGCAACTAGAACATCGTGTGCTTGTAGCTTGTGCAGATGAAACTCCATGATTCGAACCACCATTGTCATCAGGTACAATGGCCGCTCCGACCAGAGCACACGGGAAGACTGAAGAAGCATTGGTGAGGGTCATCTGGCCTTACAGGAAGTCTTTCTGTTGTCTTAACTAACTGTGTTGTTTGGTGGTGTTAAGTACCGATACCAACCCTGCATAGGGGCTGCTGGTGGGTTTGCACCGTTGACCTTGAGGTTCAAACTGACCTTGAGGTTGAGTGCTGCTTATCTTGATGCCACACCAGAACTCCGTAACTAGCTATGGTGGTGGTGGTGTGCTGTGGAGTTAGTTCCGACTCATAGCAACCTTGTATAGGGTTTCTGAGGTTACAAATCTTTACGCGTGCAGAAAGCCTCATCTTTCTCCCACAGAAGGCTGGTAGTTTCGATCTACCCTTGACGTTAGCAGCCCGAGTCGTAACCACTACTCTACCAGAGTTCCTTATAACTATCTATAGGGATGTTTTTATAAATCAGGAAGCACTTCTGCTGAACACTGCGCAAGAGTTTTATAGACTGTCATTTTTAGTGTCACCCCTCTGACAGTGTTGGCCGATGTGGCCACACATCCACACAGACACCCGGAGCGGCTCCTGACGCCACTGCTGCCAACCCCACCCTCGGGCACCATCCCAGGACTCTGACCCTCTAGCAGAGCAGTGTCTGCTGGGAAAGAGGCGTCATGGGGCCCCGGGTGAGCTCCTTCCTGGTCTTCCTGCTGCAGCTACTCAGTGGTGAGGGACACCCCTCCGCTCCTATCCTCTTCCCTCCACTGCCTGTCCCCCCATCTCCACGCTCCTGTGAGGGCCTGGGTCTCTCTAGCTTCTCTTCTATCCTCAGTGTGTCCTGAGGGCTAAGAGTAAGAGGTCCAGCCAGCAGTGTAGAGCGAATGTCAGGGGGAGGCAGGAGGAGGCCGTGGGAAGCTCCTGAGGTCTGCGGTTGGGTGGGTAGGAGATTGGCTTCTACTCTTAACCCCAGGTCTGATGGTGAGGAGTGACTCTAAGGCTGGGATAGAAAGAACCCTGATTCCCTCTCTTCTTATTTCCAGAGGCCCAAGGTGATGTGCTGCCCACAGGTGATCAGTCCTAGCTGAGATTCTAGGGCAGGGGGGTGCAGTGGGAGGGAGGGAGGGGCCCATGTGGAGGGTGTGGATGTGGAGGAAAGTCCCACGGTGTCCCTCGTTTGGCCTCTCTGCAGTGTGTGGCCACTCGGAGGATGTCGGAAGGATTGTGGGTGGCCAGGATGCCCAGGCAGGACAATGGCCGTGGCAGGTCAGCCTGAGTTTGATCCCCCAAGGGCACATATGTGGGGGCTCCCTCATCCACTCACGTTGGGTGCTCACAGCTGCCCACTGCTTGCTCAGGTGAGTGGGGGCAGTCTTCCCCTCCTTGTTTCCACGCCCCCTCCCATAGTATCACCCTCGACAGGCTGGACCTTTGCCCCACCTCCTAGGTCTTCCAACCCTCAGCTCTACTATGTGAAGGTTGGAGGGCTGACCCTCTCCCTTTCGGAACCTAACTCATCCTCCATGTCGGTGACGAGGCTCATTGTCCACCCCTCGTATAATGGACAGCCGATGACCAGTGGAGACATCGCCCTGGTGCAGCTGGATGCCCCCGTACAGCCCTCACAGGCTACCCCTGTCTGTCTCCCAGGACCCCAGGTCCCCTTCCCCAGTGGGACCTTGTGCTGGGTCACAGGCTGGGGCTCCACCCAGGAGAGAGGTAAGGCTGTGTTGATGCCCTCGGCTTGGGGTCAGCTGGACACCCTGCATGGGAGGCTTGTCTGTGCCCAGCTTAGACCATTCCACGCCGAGGCTGCTGCAATGGCCTCCTCTCCCTGTCTGGAAGTTGGGAGGACGTAGTGCCAGGGATTGCCCTGAGTCACATGACCACATGTGTTGGATCTCTGGGTGGTGCAAACAGTTAAGCACTCTATGAGTAACTGAAAGGTTGGCAGTTAAACCCACCCAGTGTGCCTTGAAAGTAAGACCTGGAAATCTGCATCTTACAGGCCACAGCCTGCAGTCCCACAGAACACAATTCTTTCTGCCTCTCAGAACTGGTTTTACTGGTTTAGAGCTGGAGTCCAGGGTTCAGCCCATTGTTGGGCTGAATACACTGAGGCTGGGCAGGATTCTGGGTGTGGGGGAGACCCCTGCCCTGCTTTGTTCTTCAGGGCAACTGCAACCTGCTGGCTATGGGAGGCGGCTGGGCACAGGAGGGGCTGGTGCCTCACAGGTGGGAGGTATGTTTCACCTGCTGGGTGCCACCTGGTGGCGTGAGGTGACCCTCCACAGCCAGTCAGCTGCTCCCTCTCTGCAGTCATGGCGGACACCCTGCAGGAAGTGGCAGTGCCTCTCCTGGACACAGAAAAGTGTGAGCAGCTATACCACCTGCAGGAGGAAGCCAGCTCGGCTAGGCAGCGCTTCATACAGGATGACATGCTCTGTGCAGGCTGGGAAGAGGGAAAGAAGGACTCCTGCCAGGTAAGGGCCGCCCCTGGCACCTCCAACTGTCCCCACATCCCATCCCTGGGGTTCAGAGGACCCTGCAGACACATGTAACCTAGGAGTCCTGCGTCCCTTCCTCCCTCTCCTCAGGGAGACTCAGGGGGTCCGCTGGTCTGTCCTATCAATGACACGTGGATCCAGGCTGGGATCGTGAGCTGGGGATTCGGCTGTGCCAGGCCGAACCGACCCGGTGTCTACACACGCGTGTCCACCTACACTGACTGGATTCACAGAACCCTGAATGAGTCTGCAGCCTTCAATTCTGCACCTATGAGCACCTCCGGGCTCCACAGGACGCTGCTGCTGCTGCTGCTACCTTTGACCTGGTCCTGGTTGGGGACCCTGTGATCCAGCATCATGGAGTCTAGAGCCCTCTTCTGGTGGGACGTGGAATTTCAGAGACTTGATGAAAACGAACCTCACATTGTGTTTGACAGGACAACCTGGAAATGGAGACTGTGGGCCGTGGTGGCCATGAAGCTGGCATGGGCCAGCAGTCCCTCTCTGCCTGCATGGTCCTTCAGGGGACGGCTGGACATGGGCAGACACTGACATGCCATGTAACACAGTTGTATTGGCTTCTGCACATCGTTTGTGTCGACTCATTTTGTCACAGGGCTTATGACCCAAGTACCTGTGCCCAAGTCCCAGAACTGTATGTGGGGCCCAGGAGACCACACAGGTAGGCTAGCCTCAGGCCTGTGTCCTCCTTGCTTTATAGACTATATTGCCTCCATTGGGCGGTGATGGCTCAGTCGTAGGGTTCTTGCCTTTCATGCAGGAGACCTGGGTTTGTGTCCTAGACAGCATTGCCATGATGCTAAGCAGATTTCAGCAGAACTTCCAGACTCAAATGGACTAGGAAGCAAAACCTCACAATGAACGGTGCAGTCTGCCACAGATTGTGAGCACTGGGCAGGACTGGGCAGGGTTTTGTTCTGTTGTGCGTGGGGGTAGCTAAGAGTTAGGGGCGAGTCAGTGATGGCTAACAACAACAACAACAAACTTGTCATCTGCTGCAGAAATTCCAGCATTCGGTGCCCAGGCCATCTCCAAAGGAGGCTCTCCACCTGAGATCAGAAATGGGCAAGTGTACCCCTCTAGTCTAGACCAAGAGCTACTCAAAGTGTGTTCCAGGATTGAAGCTAGCAGCCCATTGTTTGAAACAGGGCAGTAACAATCTAAGAACACAGACTGAAAACAAGCGTTTAGAAAACACTCAGTTTGATGAGTAATTTTAAAACCAACTGTATTGAGGCATAATTTACATTAGTAAGGAACCCAGCTGGTGAAATCGTTAAGAGCTTGGCTTCTAATTGACAGGTTGGTGGTTCAAAACCCTCCCTGCAGTGCCATGTGAGAAAACCCTGGCCATCGGCTTCTCTAAGGATTGTCCTTGTTAAGTGGTTCCTACTCACAGCAACCCTGCACAGGGTTTCCGAGGAGTGGCTGGCGAGCTTGAACTGCCGACCTTGCGGTTCAAGCTGACCTTGTGGTCCACTGCATTAACCCACAGTGCCACACCAGGACTCTTCCCTAAGGATTGTAGCCTAGAAAACCCCATGAGATGAAATCGACCTGTTGGCACACAGCAGTAACAGCATCAATAAATGTTCCTCATCTCAGGGTACATTCTGATGCTTTTTGATACATTTATACATCCACATCCATAGACCCATCACCATAATCAAGTTGTAGGACATTTCAATGATCCCAACATGCTCCTTGAGCCCTTCCCAGTTAAAGCACCTCACCAGCCTCCCAGGCCCTAGGCAATGACTGATCTGTTTTCTGCCCTGAAGATTGTTGTTGTAGTTAGGTGCTGTCGAGTGGTTCCGACCCATAGCTGACCCGAAACACCACCTGGTCCGGCGCCATCCTCACAATGATTATGTTTGAACCCATTGGTGCTGCACGGTGTCCATCCAGCTCATGGTGGGGGGAGGCGCTTGCTCTTTTTCGCTGTCTCTACACCTTGGAGGGACCAGTCGATGGAGAAGGATATTATCTTTGGTAAGGTGGAGGGTCAGAGAAAAAGAGGAAGACTCCCCAACGAGATGGATTGGCCAAATGGCAGCATTGATGGACTCAAGCGTGGCAACAGTAGTGAGGTTGGGCCAGGATTGGGCAGTGTTTCGTTCTGCTGTGCATAAGGTCGCTATGAGTCGATACCAACTCTATGGCACCTAACAACAACAACAACACACCTTACCAAGCATGATGTCCTTCTCCGGGTACTGGTCCTTCCTGATAATATGTCAAAATATAGGAGATGAAGTCATCCTCGCGTCTAAGGAGTACTCTGGCTTACTTCTTCCAAGACAGATTTGTTTATTCTTATGACAGTCCATAGCACTTTCAGTATTTTTCTCCAACACCGTAACTCAAATGCATCAATTCTTCCCAGGTCTTCCTTATTCACTGTCCAGCTTTCACATTCATATGAGGTGATTGAATATAACTTGGCTTGGGTCAGGGGCACGTTAGTCCTCAAACTGACATCTTTTCTCTTTAACACTTTAAAGAGGGCTTTTGCAGCAGATACGTCTAATGCAATGTCTTTTGATTTCTTTTTTAAAACTTTTTGTTGTAAATTGAGTGAAGGTTCACAGAGCAGATCATCAGTTTTACATTCAACAAATCATATACTTTCTTTATTGCAATGATTACAACTCCCTCCATCTACCATCAATTAACAATATTTATCTCTGGTAGCATGGTGGATTGTGCGCTGGGATGCTAACCAAAAGGTCAGTAGTTCAAAACTACCAGCAGCTCTGTGGGAAAAAGATGAGGCTTTCTGCTCCAATGAAGATCGACAGCCTTGGAAACCCTATGCAGGGTGGCTAGTAACAAACTCCAGGACATATAACCAACACCTCTAGGATTGTAGAGTTGTCGATTTCTTTCCTCAGTTCTATTAGAGTTTGATTTCTGTATTTGGAGGTTCTTTCAAGTGATAGATCTTTTTGATGGTTAAGTCCTCTTGCCTCTTGCTCAGTGGGTCAGGTAATCATTATATAATGTCCTTGTCTGTCTTTTATGCTGGTTTTTGTCTTAAAATCTATTTTATCAGAGATTAAAATTAGCACTCTTGATCATTTTTTATTGTGATTAGCTTGGTATATATTTCTTCCATCCTTTGATTTTTTGGTTTATGTCTGTCTTGTGTGTAGGATGTGTCTTTTGTAAACAGCATATCGAAGGATCCTGTATTCTTATCTGTTCAGCTACTCACTGTCTCTTGACTGCTGCATTTAATCCATTTACATTCAGTATAATTGTCGATAGATATGAATTAATTGCTGTTTTTTCCTTTTTTTTGGGTCTGCTGCTGGTTTCTTTGTTCCTTAGAATTCTCTGCACAGAGTTACTTTTGTTTGTGGGTTTGTTTTTCTTTTTTTTTTTTCATCTGTTGTGTTGATATTTACTAAATCTTTCTGATCTCCCTCCTTTTAATTTTGATGCAAAGGTATATTCGTTTTCTTTGCGATTAGCCTGTAATTTATTAATTTTTCCCTGTTTAATAAAGTCTGTTTTATCTTGAAATCGACTTGAATTTCTCACAATTTGGAGGGTCTGTATCTACACTATTTCCTTTTTTTTGCTTTGTAGTTGACTTCATTATAAATTGATATCTCTGGTTCCCTATATGAGATTTGTTTTACTTTAAATACTTCTATATCTGGATTGAATTCTGGGTGGCATTCTCATGTATGTTAATATAAAGTTGTTGTCAGTCCAAAGACCATCCTTTAGTAATTTTTGTAAAATTGGTCTTGCTATTACAAATTCCTTTAATTTCTGTTTGGCTGGAAATGTTCTAATTTTATCATTATGTTTGAGGAATAGCTTTGCAGGGTATACAAAAAATTTTTTTTAACTTTTAATTGTGAATTGAGTGAAAGTTTACAGACAAGATCATCAATTTTACATTCAATAAATTGTGCACTTCGTTTCATCTCAATGAATGAATCCCCTCCATGCAACACTTATCCTGCTCCCTACGGTTCCTACTTCCATTCCACCCAACTTCCCATCCCTTATTAACTTGGTCCTTAGGGAAATGTTGTCCTTTTGATTTGTTTTTTTTTCTTAAATGTTTTATTGTGAATTATGTAATAGTTTACATGGGAGAACATTAGTTTTACATTCGTTCTGTCGTATATAGTCTCATTGCCATGCTTACAATCCCCTCCATGTAATCCTTCCCCCGTATCCCTCAGGTCTTCAGCCCACAGTCGCTCTCCCTCTCTGGATCTAAAGTCTCCAGCTGCTCCATCGCTCCAC